CAAATCTTGTGCGTGAAACCACCCAACCTCCCCTTCTCAGTCCTTAGTCTAACCTTGTAGATTTGAAAGGATTACTGGGAGCTGATTCGGTGTCTTTCTGCAGAGCCCCGTAGGAACAGCTCAACCGTGAGTTGCTCTGCACCAAGGGCCCGTCTTTGTCCAGACTAGACAATAATGATAGCTTTGCCTTCTTGCAAAGAGCCTCCAGGCTTATGAAGTGACTTTGTTCAGAGTCATCTAAGTGGGCATCAGCTGAAAGAGTTCAGCAAGAGCCCACAGGAGTGATTGCCAAGGAGGGGACCAGTTTCAGGGGCGGTGGATTGACCAAAACTCCAGAAGTGTCAGCTGCCACTTCACACTTGTCTTTTGCTATGGCCCAATGCCGGACTGCCATGAACTCTAGGCAGACTAGATGGGAGAAGGGAGGATTGAAGGAAAACAAGAAAAACTTTTCTTTGCATCTCCCTGAGATGTGGGTTCAAAGTTGACCACCTGGGAAGGGAATACAGCTGCATACCGACCTATAGTTGAAGCCGCTGTTCCTAAAACATCTTCTTTGAATTTGATTGGACATTGGGTCGAGGGGGGACAGAATAAGGAGGTACCCAAGGAAAAGGAAGTTAGACCTGGGGATTTTGGCCAGTGGATTTCAGTTCTGGCTTTGCACCACTGTATTTCACCTCTAGTAAATTATACCTTTCTCAACAAACACAGTTAAGGATCTTCTTTCTTAGAGGCTCACGCTGAGGCAGGTCTTGCAAGGGGTTTCAAAGGAAGAATGTTGGAGAATGTTTACTATTTCCTTGCTCTTGGGTAGAATAGATGAGTGGTAAGATGGCCTGGTTTTTTCCAGCCCAGATGCATGGAGACAGGAGAGGAGTATTTCTAGTCCAGGCCTTTAACCTCTACAGCAGACAGGTTCTCATAACTAATTTAAACATGTGTATCTTTGCATGACATTTGAGGAGAGAGCTGAGGAGTTCAGTAATTGAGGGCTGTTTGGAAACTGAAACAGTATTTGCTGTGTGAGCAAGGAGCCTTGGCGTGGCTTAGCTCAACTGTTCTGCACTAAAGCTGCTTGGTGCTGTGAAACTAAAACCGAAACTCCTCTCCTCTGGTTGTGTTTTGCATTTAGCACGGATTTCTTTTCAGGTGGGGAGTGGGAGTAGAAATCCTTAGCATCAGAGCGTGTTAATAATATTAATACAGGAAATACTAAATGCTCTGATGGTCATTTTGAAAAATCCTTTCTTAGTGAGCCCCTAGAAGCCAAGAGGAACATACGTGCCAAATTTCAAGTCTGTAGGCTTTACAGTTCTGAAGATTATGTGATGATGCGTGAGTGATAATTTCGCTTTTATATACAGTATATAGACATATCATTATCCCCCTGGAAGCTTTTAATCCTCAGTATAGTCCAGCATTTCTCAGTCTTGGCAGGACTTCCCAGAGTTCCTTGACCAGCATACTTGCCAAGGGCTGGACAAAGAACCGGATCTTCATGATTCTTTGGAACACCAGTAGAGTGGGTGAAATTCAAACACTGGGGAGAATCTCATTCATTCCCAACAGTTGAAAAAAAAAACCCCAAAATGGCTAGTAGATTGTACAAAATGAATGGAGACTCCTGGAATCCTTTGTTAAACTAACAAAAATGGATTCAAGAGAAGATACGCTTCAGTCGAAACAAATCTTTAATATAAGCCCTGCATACAAACATACATACAATTAATGCGCTCTGTCAGCTAAACCAAAGTGAGCGAAACAAATCTTAAGGGAATCAACCAAGGTTTAGAAAAACCCACCAAGAACTTGCTCCACGAAGAGTTTGCTCCATAAAGGATTCTCTGATGTTTTAATTTCTACCACCTTCAGCGATATAGCATGACAGCGGTCAAGTTCTAATCTGTATTAGTAGCTACGTTTTCTGAGTGGGTGTCTGCATTAAACTTCAGTGTATATAAACCCCTACTGCATCCTCAGCGTTTTATAGGGTGGCGATACAACGCATGCAACTTCCTCATTTTTTTTTCCCTCCTTTTACAAAAAGAACCTTTCGGAAAGGTAGAAGAGAGAGAAAGAGAAAAATTAGATCTACTGTATCGTTTGATCTAAGCAGGGTTAAACTTGGTTGGTATGTGAGTGGGAATCTGTAGACTTGAAGAAACAATCACCTGGAGTAATGTTTTTCAACCTCAAACACTAAGATGTGCCAAAGGTGTTTTTTTCAAGAGGCAACTGGACTTTCTTTGTTTTTACTTGAAGATGTTCCACTTCTCATCTAAGAAGTTTCTTCTTCAGAAGAACTGAAGAAGCTCCTTGGATAAGAAGCAAATTGTCTTCAAAGAAAAACAAAGAAAGTCCATTTGCCTCTTGGGACAATTGTGACCTGGATGACTGAGAATCTCCATAGACTTTTAAGATATGTGGATCGCAACTCCTAGAATTCCCCAGCCAGCATGCTGGGTATCGTTTATTTGATCTAGCTTCTATATAAGATTTTCCACTCTATGTTTATAATTATCTATCATGGCTACTTCTCTGTGGCCAATGTCACCTGTAAAATCTGAGTTAAATCCAACAGGTCCACACATGTTACTTGAACTCAAGGTACAAGACATTGTTGAAGCTTACCATGATAAACAGCGAGGTTAAATTGGGTTAAGGGAAGAATAACTCATCTCTGTCCAATTTAGGGACTATAATTGTTGGAGTGAATTAAGGATTGTTGAATAAATAATTGACAGGGAGTGTAACAAAGGTGTAATCTAGGCTGTTTAGTCACCTGTTAATTCTGAACCAGTCTGCACTTGTAACAAAAGGGCTGCCTTAGTGTTAATAATATCATATCACTCTGTTTTGTAGTGGTTCAGATTATTCTTCCAGCAGAATAATCCAAGCATGGGCTCTTGATTATAATTGTCAACTGTGAGACCCGAATTAAAGTTCTGGACAAGACAAAATGTATGGCTTTCTGAACATCTAAAAGATATCGTCCAAGACCTTGTTGAAAATAAGGCAGTTTCTTCCTCCTTTCCCCGTTGAGAGAAAGGAAGGAACGTAGCCAGCAGTGACCTCTAACTATACACTTGCAAAGCGCAACCGAGTCTTCGAAAGAGAATAACTAAAAATTCTCATAGTGATGTATAAAGTGAGCTTGATCCCGCTTGTTGATTTTCTGACATGCCTTCTCCACGTTCTTGGTCATGCCAGGTGGGCCACAGCTGAAAACACCAATTTTCCGTACCTGAAAACAAAAAGGAAAAAAAAAAAAGGGGGGGGGGTCAGAATCACAGAGATGCAAAATAAAATAAGTGAGGGAAATAATTAAAATTTTCCCCCTGCGTTGACATCCAGACCAGTGTTTTTCAAATTTGGCACAACTTTAATATAAGTGGACTTCAGCTCCCAGAATTCCTCAGCCATCATGTTGAAGCACCAGAATCCCTCGGCCAATGTGATGGATGGGGAATTCTGGGAGATGAAGTCCACTTATATTAAAGTTGCCAAGTTTGAAAAAACAGTGATCGAGTAGAGCAGGGGTGTCAAACTTGATTTCATTGAGGGCCACATCAGGGTTGTGTTTGACCTGAGGGAGGGGTCTGGGGGTGGGCGTGGCCAGGGTAGGTGTGGCCAGCTCGACATCACTTTTGTCGGGGGCACCTGTGGTGGCCCGAGTGCTTTACCAGTGAAAGCGGGCTCCCAAGCTCCGTTTTTAGCTGCAACGGCCTCCTGCAACCATCTGCCAGCGAAAACAGAGTTTTGGAGGGCCACGGGTAGCCTTCCTGAACTCCCTTTTCTCTGGCAGAGGCACTGTGGGCCAGTCCCTTGCTGTTTCCAGGGTGGCCCCATGGACGAGATCCAGGGGTGGGATTCTACCTGGTTGGACCAGTTCTATAGAACCAGTTGTTATGATTCTACCCAGTTTGGAGAACTGGCAAATTGTACCACTGGCTGGCCCTGCCCTGCCCCGCCCCTCCCAACCCACTCACTCTTTACTTGGTATGTGCGCCATCAAACTTGCCAGCTAAGTTGCTATTTTTCCTTTTTTGTTCCCCTGACCATCAGCTGTTCTGCTGTGCCGGGAGATTTAGATTAGCTAGAAAGCAGGACATCTTAGGCTTTCTTGATTTTTAACTAATCTAAAAGCAGAACTGAACCTTCCTTAGGACTGAAGCTTCTATTTTTCAGTGGAGACTCAGGTAACAGATTGCAGAAAGATAGATGTCTAAGTGAATCTGTGATTCTGAGAGCAACTCAATCTGCCTGCCTGCTTTGTCTGTTTTGGGGTAAAAGTTGCTCTTTTTTAAATAAAAAAATTAAATATTTACTGACCTCTGGGTGGACCTCTTGCAAGGAGCAGAAAAAGGGCACAAATGGTGGCCGTCCAAAGTGGGTGATGGAACGCAGGCCGGTGAACAAGCTTCGATTGAGGACCTTCTGGAAGTGACGTTCACAGATGTACTGGAAAGAGATCAACCAATCATTAGAACAGACCAGTCGGGCCTCTGTTCTATTGCCGGACCAACCACTAATCCGGTCACCATGAAGTTATTGATTCTCAATGTGGAACTAGGCCAGTGGTGGCTAACCTATTTTATTTTATTATTTTATTTTATTTTATTGATTTGTCAATTGCTTACCAGATAACAGGTATAAGTATGAACATAGTTTTGAATATATGAGATGGATACATATAAGAAAAATAAAAATAAACAATAAGACAGGGACAGTAGGCACATTGGTGTGCTTATGCAGACCTCTTAAGAAAGGGGTGAGGTCAATAGTAGACAGTCTAAGGTTAAAGTTTTTGGGGGTTGGGGAAGAAACCACAGAGTCAGGTAGAGTATTTCAGACATTGACCACTCGGTTGCTGAAGTTATATTTCCTGCAATCAAGTTTGGAGCGGTTAACCTTAATTTTGTATCTATTATGTGCCTGTGTATTGTTACGATTGAAGCTGAAGTGTTCATTGACAGATAGGACATTGCAATATATAATTTTATGTACTATACTTAGATCAGACCGAAGGCGTTGTAGTTCTAGGTTTTGTAGGTCTAGAGTTTCAAGTCTGGTGGCATAAGGTATTCTGCAATGAGTAGAGGAGTAGAGAACTCTTGTGAAATATTTCTGGACTTTCTCAATTTTGTTAATATCAGATACATGATATGGGTTCTGACTGATGAGCTGTATTCAAGTATTGGTCTAGCAAATGTTTTGTATGCTCTAGTTAGTAGTGTGATATTACCAGAGAAGAAGCTACATAGGATTATAAGATATAACCCGGGACTATCTGGATTACTTGATGATTTCTGGATTCTTGATTATTGTTTTGAATGACTAAAATCAATTGGGTGGTTGTTTAAAACTATTTAAAATGGCTCTACTTTTAGAAGAACTGAAAATGGAACTTAAGAAGTACAAAGAAGATGCACAAGAAGGGAGAGGTTCTTTTGGCTTCATATTTCAGTTTTTAGAAATGGAGATTTGGAATTATGAGAAACAACAAGAAATGCCTGCAGAACAAGAAGATTGCAACAAAGAAGAAGCCACCTTTTATGAACAAGTAATCTTAGATGGGGGGGGGGGGAAGGAAAGGTGGGAAAGAGAATGGAAAGTTAAGATTGGAAAAAACAACTAAAAAAAATAGAGTGAAATTAAGTATAAAATCAGAAAGCAACAGAAGAGGGAAATGCAAAGGGGAAGGGAGAAGATGAGAGGGAAGAAAGAAAGGAAAAGAAGTGATAAAGGACAGAAGCAAAATATAGAGAAACAGGGCCTATTTAGAGATAATGGGTGAAAACTAAATGGAAAAAGGGATTCTGCAAAGGTACATAAGATAGTATGGTTATATTAGAAGCAGAAATAATTTTAGAAAATATGAAACAGTGTATGATTAAAATGTCTGATAAAATAGCTATTGTAATTCAGTGGAATGCTTGTCAATAAATAAATGTAACAAAAGGTATATTTAATGATTTATAAAACATATGTGAAGAGAAATAAGGGAAAAATTAATTATGGAGATTTAATGTGTTTTTAAGGAAGTATGATATTTAATTGAAAAGAAGTGTTAAAGATGTTAAGATTTTAATGATTATTAATGATAGAACTGGAATGGAATGAGGGTTTATAATTACATATATTTACAATCTTTTTTTTTTAAGAATATAGTGTGTGTTATAAGAATGTGCCCAGCAGAATTCGATTGGAAGTTATGTATTATGTATTATATTGAAGGTCATAGACTTAAGGTATATATTGAAGTTTAAATAAGAGTTGAATGGATGTAATTAAAAGATATAAAGGTGTCATACTCCAATTAGTAACTACAGGAGAAAATTTGTTTAATGAGAAAAGATAATATGATAACAGAACAGACAAAAGTATAAATATAATGATCTGAATTGAGATGAGATAATCAAAATAAAATTGAGAAAATTAAAAGAGGGGAAAAACTATATAGAAAATGTAAAATAGTATAAGATATGGAATAGAATACAAAAAGGAGCATGAAATTGAGTTTTGTGTCTGTATAAAGAAGTTCAACCCGGGACCATGCTATTTTCAAAAAAGATGTTTTACTTGTATTTTGTGTGTGAAAACCCAAACAAAACTTTATTAAAAAAAAAAAAGAACTGGCAGATGGTCTACTTGGACAAAACTCAATCACTGTACTTTTTGCTACTAGCACTTCAGGTTAATAGATGAGAACTTGACTTTCTGACTTTTTATTTCTTGAAGGCACCTAGATATAGAACCCCAAGTAAATTGCATGGTGGAGGGGAGAGACTTACTAGCATGGTGGTGCGCAGGTCGAACTTCTCGGCCAGTTGGGTGATGTAGATGTGGACGGAGACCAGGTCACGTTGATCGTTCTCCTCAACTTCCCGGATAATGTCGGCCACCCACTCAAACTGCCGCTGTGTCCGGGTGACCCAAATGAAGTAGATCTGGGAAGAACAAGAAAAAGGCCGAAAGCTGCTTATAATGCCCATAATTTATCAATAGTGGAATTGTTCTGCCCATGTTTTGTATCAAAATGTGAATTCTATTTTCAAAAAAAAATAAAAAATTCCATGAAAATGTATACTCATTTCCATGTACAACATGCCTAATATATCCCTCAGTGTATATCCTTTTGCCCAAATTGTCTATGTTTGTAAACAATTGTCTCCAATATAAGTTCTGCAGGTTAGTTTAACATGATTAAACCTTATTTTAGGTTGTGCTCTTTCCTCTAATGCAGGTGTTTGGCAGCTTTTAGATGGGTGGACTTCAACTCCCAGAATTCCCAAGCCAACCATGCTGATTGGGGAATTCTAGGAGTTGATGTCCAGCCTTCTTAAAGTTGCCAAGATTTGAGAGACACCATTCCAGGGTTTGCTCTTTTGTATTCCCCCGCCCCCCGAAACTGAAGAATTATCAAAAAGTGGAAATACAACATAAGTAAATTTTAATTCAGCTGTATGAGCCAACTGTAAGTGTCAGGAAATGTATATATAGCAAAGTCTACAACTCCACTATTTGCTTTAAGTAATGCAATTCCTCATTAAAAAAAGTCCTACCACCCAATGTTGACACAAACTGATAACAGGCAATCAGAGTTGGAAGGGACTTTGTAGGTCATCTAGTCCAACGCTCCACCCAAGCAGTGAACCTTACACCATTTCAGACAAATGGCAGTCCAATCTTTTCCTGAAAGTCTCAAGTGATGAAGCTCCCATAGAAGGCAACTTCTGTTCCATTGGTTGATTGTTCTCACTGTCAGAAAGTTTCTCCTTATTTCCAGGTTGAATCTCTCCTTGTTCAGTTTCCATCCATTATTCCTTGTCTGGCCTACAGGCACTTTAGAAAATAGCTTGAGCCCTTCCTCTCTGCAGCAGCCCCTCAAATATTAGAAGACTGTTCTCATGTCTCCCCTGGTCCTTCTCTTCCCTAGACTAACCAGGCCCAGTTCCTGCAACCGTTCTTCATATGTTTTAGTCTCCAGTCCCCTAATCATCCTGGTTGCTCTTCTCTGTACTCTTTCTAGAGTCTCAACGTCTTTTTTATAGTGTGGTGACCAAAACTGGATGCAGTAATTCTAGGTGTGGTCTTACTAAGGCTTTATAGAGTGGTATTAGTATCTCCCTTGATCTTGATTGTATCCCTCTGTTAATGCAGCTTACAAACATTGACACTGACACCATCGCAGGTGAGTGGCGTACAGCAGGCCAACCACACCTCTGTTTGTTCAGTCTCACCTTCTTACATAGGATCCTGGAGCCAACAGAAGACTTGAAGACAAGGTCTTTAAGGATGGAGGCAAAGGGGGTCACTCCAATACCACCGCCCACTAGGACTGACACTTCAAATTTGTTCCATTCCTGGTGTCCCTCTCCAAATGGGCCATCAAGATAGAGCTACAAAGAAATGGGGGTAAAGAATGAAGTTTGTTGGCTTGGACAATGGAGTTCAGAGGGTTGAGTACAGCAAGGATTGGATTCTATATTATTTTACAAACTATTTACAGGAGGGGGAGGTTGGAAGAAGAGTAATGTTAGTTGTGTTGGAACCAGAAAAGTTTTGGTTCATGTTGATCAGCCATATTTGTTGGCCGTGTATCCTCTACTAAAATCGACACTAGGAGAAAAGCAAGGCAAAAGAAAACCTAGTTTTACCTTGGGATATTTGCCAATTTCCGCAATGCTTTCTTGCGAGTAGAGTTCCCGCAGGCGAGTTGTCCAAGGTCCAGCTGCTCGGATGTGTAGGCTTAGCAGGTCTTCATGGGGAGCAGATGTCAGAGTGAAAGGATGGTACTCATTGGTCCCCAGAGACAAACATGCAATCCGTACCCATTGTCCAGACCTGTAGTCAAAGTCTTGGGGTCTCTGGAATTGCAGGTTGGTGACCCCTGAATCAAGAAAAAAAAAAGAATTCCTAAGTATTTGCTATGAAAGGTCAAGTCAACAATGCTAGCTACAACGATCCGGGTACAAGCAAGTTACGCATAAGGCAGACCTAAACTAGAGAGTGTGAGAGCATTTGCAGTGTGACTTCTGTTATGAGACAACCCAGGAGCAAAACACAACACACAGAGACTTAGACATTTGTTTATATACAACAGTTATATACAGACATATACATGGTAGGAAAAATACCTTACAAGCAATCAAACTTCTTCTCTATGTCGAGAACTCTGCAATAAATACCGGACACAAGGAGAGAGGATATCATCTAATGACTGCCTTTATATAAACACCTCTTAAAGGGTTAGAACCCATCCCTGGTCTTAAAGAGAAATACCCATACACCACACAAGCAAAGTAGAAGAAAAGAGGGGGAAAAAACTCCAGAGAAGTTCCAGAGACAGGAAGTCTAGTCCTGCCAAGAATGTAATAAGGGTTAACGGAGAGACAGTTTCTGTCAGCAACACCAGAATGTTTCCTTCCTGCCTTCCTTACAGGATTAGGCCAGTAATTTCTTCTAACAACCGTTTCTCCGAACTGCTTAGAATGTTAACCACCGGTTCTAGTGAATAGGTGCGAACTGGTAGAATCCCACTCCTGGGTAGAAGATGCTCTCTTTCATGTAGAGTTGAGGAGGAAGGAGGATGCAGGACAGAAACATTACCTGAAGGGAGCAGCTCAGCCTTAATGACGCTGATTTCCACCTTTTTTCTGCTAAGGCTGATAAGTTTATCTGCTACATAGATGAGCGCTGGGATAATGAAGTAAATATGAAAGCGAGGCTGCTGGATCAGAGCGTAGCTGCCATGAATGATCACCTGGAAATAGATTACACATCATTTTAATCCATGATAATGAACGGAAAGGAGGAAATTATTCTCTGATAGACTCATAAAGAGTGAAAGTATCTAAAGATAGTTTGGAAGTCCTCAGGATCCCATAAATTTGCTTCAATTTTGCTGGCCTGCTGAGGAGTCCTGGGACTTGAACTCCACAAGTCTTAAAGTTGCCAAATTAGGAGTTGCCTGGTATATATGAATGGTATGCACCATCCTCCATCTATGGACGATTTGTATTTCTGAATTATCATAGGCTTTAACTGTCACTTACCAGAATGTAGAGAACCACATAGAGATGATGGGTGATCCAGAATCCTTGAAAGCTGATTCGTCGGAAATAATGAGTGGCAAATACATACATGATCGCAAGGATGACCAGTAATAGCACTCCAGTCATGCCTGCAGAAGACCAGGAGAAAACAAGGGAATGTCAATTGACGTATAGGAACACACGATGTTGTCTTGCCTTATTTTCCTTCTACTTCAGAGGTGGACAACCTGAAGCTTTCGATATGGGTCAAGTGATGACACAGCAGAGCACAAAATACTTTGCGTCATTTGGGCCACAATGTCCTGATACTGAGGTCATCATTATGACACAAACACAGCTTTTAATAGATGCCAATGCTTGAAGTTCCAACGTTCCATTCTACCCAAAGTCACTTCTTTAGAACCGAGCTGAGGGTGCACTCAAAGGCTAACGTAAACTCTAAACGCACTAAACCAGGGGTCTTTAAACTTGACAGCTTTAAGACTTGTGGACTTCAACTCCCAGAATTCCTCCTCCAGTCATGTTAGCTCAGGAATTCTGGGAGTTGAAGTCCACAAGTCTTAAACTTGCCAAGTTTGAAGACCTTTGCACTCAACCAACAAACCAAGCACCCAGTTTCTGCCCCATCACCTTCAGAGTTCAGACCACATGAATGATTCCCATCTGGCCACTTGTATTATTTCCCAGGTCGTCATCTACTCAGCCCCCCCCGCACCCAAATGTTAACTGCAGTCAGATCACCAAAAGCCTTTGATATTTGAATTTTACCTGGTACCGTCTCAAAAAACCACCAGTAGTATTTGGGAGGAAATTGTGATCTGGAAAGAAAAAACAATTCTCAGTAAAACAACCCACAGTGTAACCTGGTTCATACATTGTGCTAAGCCAGGGCATCTCCAAACATGGCAACTTTAAGACTTGTGGATTTCTGCTAGCTGGGGAATTCTGGGAGTTGAAGTCCACAAGGTTTAAAGTTGCTGAGTTTGGAGACTCCTGTGTTAAGCCATAGTTGGTTGGATGCTGGGTTTCTGAGTAATATAAAGTGGCTCAGTTTGTCCAACCCACCGCTGCCTGTACAATTGCTACACTACTTTCAAACTACATGGAGTTCCCTCTAAATTAAGAGTTCTTTCTCTAGTTTCCATTCTTTCTCCAGACACCTGGAAGCTAAGAGGTAGTTCTTTGCATTCTTACGTTCGTAAAGGGAAAACTCTCTACTCACCCATCATTCATAAATACGTGTGAGAAAAGACACGACAAAATGCTGAGTGGGGTCACCGAAAAGATGTAGACATTCACAACATGGCCCAAAGTATGCAAAACTGCAGGAAACACAAGACAATGAGGTTAGGTCTGTGTCACCAAGTTTCATTGCAATTTCGAATCTCTTATAACGACAGTATAACCATTTCCTGTCATAGAACTATGGGCAATATAGGGCTATAAAAAAACAATGTCACCAAACAGTGAACACATAAATAGCAGTGTGACGTAGTGGTGAGAACCCAAGCTGTAAACATCCACCTTTGAACTGGGCAAAGTTCAAGAGTTATAAAAATACAAATATTCCACGCCTATTTTTGGTGTTTGTGTTACATTTGTAATTTCCTTGATGTCAGGTTTTATTAGATTGATCAACCTTGATTGGCAAGAGGAAGTGTTTGGCAGTTTCTTTTTGGTCCGGATTGCTAGAAAACCCCCTAAGTTGAAAAACCAGATTTTTCTGGAGTTGATTTCCACTACTGTTGTCAAGGCCAGGCAAGGTTGAAACTAATCCAGAGGAGATTCAACCTGGAAATAAGGAGAAATTTTCTGACAGTGAGGACGATCAACCCATGGAACAGAAGTTGCCTTCGGAAGTTGGGGGAACTTCATCACCGGAGGCTTTCAAGAAGAGATTGGACTGCCATCTGTCAGAAATGGTGTAGGGTCTCCTGCTTGGGGGGGGTGGGGGGGTTGGACTAGATGACCTACAAGGCCCCTTCCAACTCTGTTAATCTATTCAATCTGTTAAATTATTTTCCTTGCACATTTTCTGGGTTGTGCATTGCCAAAATTCATGCAGTTGCAGCAGTGAGAAATCGGAGATGATTTGGGTTTTTAAAAAAGTTTTGTCTCCAACACGCTGACCAGCTGTGTGTAGCAACAGCCAAAAAAGCTAAGGCAATCCTAAATTGCATTAACCGAGGGATACAATCGAGATCAAGGGAGGTACTAATACCACTCTATAAAGCCTTAGTAAGGCCACAGCTAGAGTACTGCATCCAGTTTTGGTCACCACACTATAAAAAAGATGTTGAGACTCTAGAAAAAGTGCAGAGAAGAGCAACCAGGATAATTAAGGGACTGGAGGCTAAAACATACGATGAACAGTTGCAGGAACTGGGCCTGGCTAGTCTAAGGAAGAGAAGGACCAGGGGAGACATGATAGCAGTCTTCCAATATCTCAGGGGCTGCTACAGAGAGGAGGGGGTCAAGTTGTTTTCCAAGGCACCTGAAGGCCAGACAAGGAATAATGGCTGGAAACTGATCAAATAGAGATTCAACCTATAAGAAATAAG